TTTTCCATGCAGAAGCCAGAGTGACTTTCTAAAGTAACTTTATCCCTTAAAAACCTTAAGTGGTTCATTGACCCTTAGGATACAGCCAAAACACATTCATGTGCTTTTTGGGCCCCTTTATGCCCTGACCCCTTCTTGCCTCTCCAACATTCTTTTTCAGCTTGCACCCCACCCACCAGCCCATGCTTCTCTGCACTTCATGCTTTATGGTTTCTGGAATATTCCCTGTTCTCTCTCCCTTCTCTGCTTTACACATGTTGCTCCGTTTGTGGGGATTGGCATTCCTTGAACTACCTCAAATTGTCTCTCAATCTTTACTGAGATGTCACTTTATCTAGAAAGCCTCCCTGACACCCTTCCTATGTGCCCCATAAAACACTCTGGTAGCGGCCGGGAACCTGTTCTGCAGCTGCCTGTTTACTGATTTCCCTCCTCCGCTACACTGGAAACTTTTTGAGGGCAGGAAATGCATTTTATTCACTGTTGACCTGACAGTGACTGGCATTCAGAATTCTCATCATAACTAATTATTGAATCATCCTGAATTTTGTGAACTATGATCTTTAAATGCATATATATATATAAATATATATATATATGTTTAGAAGAATTAAGTCTTGGTACACCAATTCTCATCCCAACTTCCTTTCTGAGTTTTTGTGGGCTTGTGCTCATTCTTCCTTATTATTTCATCTTACAGCATAATGCACTTAATGCCTTGTAACAATCAACCTCGATCACTCGTCCCTCTGAGTGAATCATATGAGTTACCATATGTATGTTACCCAGGGGACTTGAGTATAAATTTGTGTTTTTAATGGTTGCTTTCATGTTAGTATTTTCTGATTTTGGTATTTGAGAGACTAGATGTGGGTGTTTCCAAGGAAAGGATAACAGAGCCATGTCCTTACCCAAGACTGTCCCTACAAGGGTCATGGGTCTGTGCTCTCAAAGGCCCCTTTAGATATCAGTAGCGATAGAAATTTCAAAAATAAATTTCAGTTAAATCAGAAAAAAGGAGTAAGGTACAGTGCTCCAAAGCACTTCTCCAAGTGTGGGAGTCCAGAGTGGCCATCTCAGCAGCTACCCAAAGGTCAGGCCAGCTCCCCTTAGACCGGGAAAGATTGTCCTTGTGAGAATAAATGGAAGTAAATGAATGAAAGAGTGAACATAGGTGACTGGATGAAATTGAAATCAAAGGCTCTTCAGACACTATGTAATTATACTATGGGATAGCATAACAATATTCTGGAATGGGCAGAAGTAAACCTTGGGCAAAATTACTTGACCCAAAGAGTCTAGAGTTCGTATACATTTTATTTACGTACTCTTCGAAGAGATTTTTTTCCCCTCTTTATCAGTGGCTGCCTACTAAAATGTTTTAAAAGTTAAAAAATTTAGTTTGCACTGACATGCAATTTATACCATCTCACCACCTTTTATAAAGGTGTTGCCAACATTGGTTAGCTCAATGTTTTGTTTCTTTCTTGAGAAAAGACAGAAAAAAATAAGACCTTTGACTCGAATAGGGGAGTGAGAAAGAAAATTGAAATTGAAATTTCACCACAGCACAAGATACATTTTTTGTGCTGTAGAGTTCACAGGTTATTTTTCAACTTGAAAATCAAGTTTGGTCATTTCCTGTTAATGGAATACTGCCATTTAGAGATATACATTTAAACAATAATGAATCGCCACTGCTTTTTCTGTGGTGTCTCAGCCTATGATTCTCTGATGTTGAAGTTGGCAACTGTTGAAATTACTCCATTTGTATTAGTTATGACGTTCAGATAAACAAGCAACCTGATTTAGCTGAGTTAGAGACAAAACAGAGAGGTTGACGTGCATTTACAGAAGTCTATAAAAGGACGAAAACCAAAGGACTCAAAAAAGAAACAGGTCATTTGAATAGTCTCTGAGTTACTGGTAAACACGTCCCAGCTCGCAAAATCAGTGTTCAGGGAGTCCTGATTGTTTCCTAAGCAATTGCAAACTTCAAGTATCTTGGTAAGGGAACGAGGAAAAAGCGTGGAGCCTTTGCACGGAGGATCGCTTGGTGTTTGTGCATCACAGCAATAAAGACTATTGTCTAACAGCAATGTGGGATCTCCCAGCAAACCGACACTGTCAAGAGGGGTAACGTGGTCCTTATGTAACAATTGTCTTTTGCCGAAAGGCACTCAGCTGAAATTGTATCTAAACATACATAATGTAAGATAGTCTTTTTTTTTTTACATGAGAAAACTGCTTTCGCGTGTAACCTCAGTGCTGCACGTGCGGATACCTGCCCTAGGTTCGCAAATACCCCGGTGCAGTCCAGGGCGGGGAGCCGTGTACCCTGCGGGAGCCGGCCACGAATCACCTCACTCCGTGTCGCAGCCTGCATTCCCACTAGCCTACGTGGGCCGTGATTCTCAGTTGCTTCCTGACATAGGGAAGTGTCCGTTCCTGTGTCTCTTTCTCCACTAGATGTCACTGTAAATCAATGGCTGGTGGAGGGGCACCCGTGTGTTTCACGTCTCTTCAGACAGTACCAGGGTCTTAAGCATGGTCAGTCCACGCACTTGTGTCCTCCCGGCTGGAGGAGGCCAGAGCGGGCCGGGGTGGCGAGAACCCGCAGGAGAGAGAGCAGCTCCCCGCGCGACACGGCGACACGGGCGCCGCGACCCGAGCGGGAGGCGCGCTGGTCTCGGGGCGTAGGGCTGACCGCGCGATGCGGAAGGCGGGCGTGCGACGCGTTCCTCGCCACCCCCGCGAGCGAGACGGTCACGTGCCCGGAGGCGCTACCCCAGCGGGCGGCAGAGGCGGCGGCGGCGGCGGGGCTGGGCCGGTAGGCACCGACCTCGGAGGCGCGGCGCCCAGCGCCCGGGGTAGCGCGAGCCGGGCGCGTGCGCC